AGGGGCGTATGACCCCAAATCTTGAAGCCTTAGTTCACACTCAGTCTTTGCTCCCACTGCCTGCCCAGGACTGGTTCTTGGTCATTTATCCATGCTCTGTTGTGTCCCAGGCCTCCCACCTCATCACCCTTCCCCTGTGACCAGGGGCTACAACCATGTCACCCTGGTTGAGTGAGAGGCCACACTCCACATCTGCCATTGCCCTCTGCTCCTGGTTGGGATCTGGGTGGGAGTGTGGGGAAGGTCAGGTGCATGCCCCATGCCATCACAGAGAAGAGCAAGGCTGTGGTCATCCTCACCCAGAGCTGGCAGCATTATGACCAGTTAGGCAGGGAACTCAGTGAGGGTCCCTTACCTACCCCCAATTCAGGTACAGAGTTTCTCAGCATGGAGGTTGAAATCACTAGGGGGTTGCATGTCTGCTGTGGGTTGAGGTGACATACTCTTGGGAAGAGAAGATTAACTTCACCTCCAACCAGGCTCCTGCTTTACCATTTTGCACTACACTCCACAAATTACATAGCTGGCTCTACTTAGAATCTCTACTCGCCCAGCTTCTTTTCCTGTTATTGATAACAGCAGCACCCTTCTCCATATCGCCCAGGGCATTATCTTCCCTCCCTCTTAGCCCAACTCCACACCTGCAGAACATCTTCCATCTGTCCCCTGCTGCCCATTTGCACTGTCCCTGCTTTAATTCAGTTGTTCATCATGGCTCCACTAGATCATCATAATAGACTGTTAATTATTGCCACAGCTTTGAGCCTCCCCCTGTTCAATCCATTCAGCCACTGCCACCAGGTTACCCAAAACACTACCCTGATCCTATTAAAATGTTTTTAAGGGCTCCCTGTAACTGTTAGTCACCGACTGTTAGTAAAATTCAAGTTCTTTAGTCAGGCATTCAAGGTTCTTTCTTCTTTTGCCCTCATCTTACTTTTGCATACTCGTTCTATAGCATGGGCAATACTCTGGCCAAATGAAACCATTCACTGTGCCCTATACACATTTTGTGCTTGCTCATTGCTGTGTCTCTGCTGAAGCCATTTTACTACACCTGGATCATGACCCCCAAACCCACAACCGTCTCCAACGGTGAAATCTAACCCTTTTTTCAGCTTGAACGGCACCTACTCCATGAAGTCTTCCATCATGAGGCCAGTCACAATGGGACTCCACTCTCCTCTGAGACTAATCATTAATCTGCAACATTTATTAAGTACAGCGCTTAGTATATACTTGTTTGTATATAGTATATGCCCCTCAAATGTAAGTGTTTGGAGGGCAAAAAAGCATGTCCTCTCACCTTTGTATACCCACAGTCCCCCTACCCAGGCCTTAGGTAAAATGGGTGCTCAGTGTATGTTTGTTGGAACTAATGAATAAGTGAATCTGTAGTGTAAACAGATCAGTTTTCTGAAACCCTGGCACACCTGTAACCCTTCTGCGTCATCCCCTTTCCTCCTCCCAGGTCACCTAACAAAACATCCTGGCTGCTTTTCAAACCCAAAGCCCATCAAACACCTGTATCATCATTATCAATACTAACAAAAATATCATCTCACACTTTTTATTAATGTTTAAAGTGCTATATTCTGAATGCTCAGAATAATCTCAAAGAGAACACCTGTTACTTGAGTGCTCTTATTTTCAACCTCTTGAGGGCAATTTTTTCATTACTATATTAAAGTGGGCTGTTTAATAACTTATAACTGTCAGGGGAAAAAAAGGTAAATGGCAGTCACTATGATCCATACTGGATACCTAAAATGAATTTTTTTCCACTTGCAATTTTTTTTCTTCTAATTTCAAGTCTGTTTTTTAGACAAATTGAAGAAAGTAATGAAAAGTAATGAAATAAACTAAGGAGTTTTTTGGCTGTCAGAACTTGTACTCAACTTTAGTATTTCATTAAATAGTCTACTCTTGACTCCAGAATGTCTTGCTTATTATCATAATTTCATAAGTATCTTTAATACTTTTCTCTCACCCATATTCTAAACCCAAGAGGATCATCAGCTTAATTTTCAGATGATTAAATTTTGAAACGTTGTATCATAAAAATTTCACCTCCCGAAGAAGAAAAAGAATGCTAGTTGAATCTGAGCAAGAAACACCTTAAAAACATAGTAGGTAATAAAAAATCAGAGAAGATGGTTATATTTTTACAAAGAAACTTCAGAATGTTTACAGAGGATCAGAATTACAACAACACTGTGATAAAAGATCATACATTTGAAAGGTTGTCAGTTTTCCTTAAGAGAAATCTGTAAGAGTCAGAAATGGAAAGGATGGGGGGAAATGCTAGAATCTAGGAAGGATGCAGCATTAATACAACTCCGTAAAAATTATATTGCATGAGTTTCTAAAAGGAACAAAGCATAAAACTTTTGATAGGATAGGATAGGGTCAAGTGTTACCAATCACATTTAGAGGAATCTGAAGTAGAGAGTAGAAGGGTAGATATTTCTATCTTCCTTGAATGTAAAGATGGTTCTAAAATACTTATTTAAGGGTGGAACATGGCTCAGGGAAAGGGTAGGTTGCTCAAAATGTGCTGAGTCCACATCTCTCAGTCCCTGATCAAGAGAAAAGGAATTGAAAATGAAATAAAGAAAAAGAATTCTAGCAGACTAGTATCATCATTATCATCATAAACTGTTACCATTTCCTGAGCAATTGCAATGTGGCAGGTACTGTTTTAGGGGCTATAATGCGATACTCATTTTATTTTCCAAACAATTATTTTTATCTTTGCCACATAGATGTTATTATTCCCATGTTGCAGATGAGGAGATTGAGACTTAGAGATTAAGAAATTCTCCCAAGGTCATACTAATGGTGACTACATATTATGGTGCACCATAATAAAGAAAAAAAGTATTGTTTTTGAAGAAGAGTAGCATTAAAAAGCGAAGAAAAACACACCACGTTAAAAATATAGAAATATATAGTAGAAGCAGTGGTGAAAGGAAAAAGAAACTTTCTGAGAAACTTTTCTTCATTTCCGGTCAAAATGAAGAAAAGGCATGATGCAGACAGATCTCAAATTCTCAGCCAATATCACACCCTCCCCCTACCTGCCTTTTGCCAGTCCTCCCAACAACCTGTCTTCTCTACAGCCATCGCTGCCACCCTGGGGACTCTCCTTTCCCACTGTCAGCTTCCAGATATCAAAGGCAACTTTGCTTTCATTCTGTCTTCAGAGTACGAGTAGGGCCCAGAAGAAATATCAGCTGCCACAGACCCGATTGTCTGTAACTCTGATAACACCTCTAGCCATGATTCCAGGCAGCAGGAAGGCAAGTCAACTGCTGAGGAAGCTGGGAATTCTGCTCTGGAAGAAAAGGTGGTTATGGGGACAATATTAAATACAAGCTGGGAGTTGAAGGAGGAGAGCAAGAAATAAAGGCTCATAGAAATAGGAGAATATCAACTGAGGAAGAACAAGAAAAAGTAAAGGCAATGAAGAGAATAGACTGCAATTCTGGGTTCTAACAAGTGCCATCCAACTAGGAAGGGTTTTTTTTTTTTTTTTTTAGCCCAAACACACAATAAGAATGTGGAAGAAATGCGAAGGAAAATACTTTGTGATTGTTCAACTTCTTACAGAATCTTCAACATTCCAACTATTAAATGTTTCCTTTCTTCCTATGGCTTTCCAAGATCACAGAGAAGCAGACACTTGTGAAAGTTCATTCATTGCATTGCTTGACCTAAAACTATCAGTCTTCAAGGAGGGTACAATGAATAAGGCACTTAATCAATAACAAAAGGTTAATGAAGAGGGTATTTTGACAGGCATTCCTGACTATGAAAGTGTTATACTGACAGATGCCTCACAAAAATGTGAAACTTGGTTTTAGTCCAAGCCAGTCAATTTTCTATGTAAAATTGTCAACTTTCAGATGAAATGGAGAAAATTTTGCCCTCAGTCTTCTTCCCACCACTTTTGCTATTCTGATCAACAGCTACCAAACTCTAGAGAAACAGGTAGCTCTATTAGACGCTGGAAGAAGTGCTCATCAAATGACCACAAAACTTTCATAACCAAGGATAAGAACTTTCAATTCTTATGAACCCTGAAGAAGTCTCATAGAAAGCACATCCAGTTTCATCATGTTCAGTGAATAGATACTAAAGAAATTAGAACTGACTGGCTTTCGGATCTGGCATCTAATATCAAGTTCAAATCGCTGTGAAAATGAAAGGTTTAGAAATACCAGAAAACAGCATGTTGGGTTTCCTTTTCCACTTGAAACTAGCATGTTTACCCTGCTGATCGCCTCTGGAGTTGCTAAGAAAATTACCAATATTTGTTTGTTTCACAAACTAAAAACCTACGTGCTCAGTCCTATCAAAAGGTGACAGCAGAAAATGCTATATTCAAACCTCAAGATAAATAATCCCTCTATTTGTCCAACCTTTCTAAACTCAGGAACAGAAACAATTAAAAAGGCCCACTCTTCCTCTGATTTTCCTCCTCTGTTCTTCTTCCCTACCTTGAAATGTATGCAACTTTAAGCTAAGGGATGTGAAAGTAGTTTGGTACTTTGTTTCTCATCCAACTCTGAAAGAATGAAATTTATTACAGTCCCAAAAGACATCAGAGACACCAACATCCCATTTTCTTCAAACTAACACTGGTATTCTGGAGCAGACTTTTTTTTCCAAGCACCTCGCAAATGCATTCTAAAACCATACAGGGATATTCTTAAAGACAAGGAATCTTGACAGAGAAACATGTGATATTAATGAGTGCAAAATGTAGTCCTTGTGATATGTGAACTCTTCACAAACCACTGTGTGTTTGGAAAAGACCATTACATCAAAGATGGTGTAGTTAACATTTTAACCGGTCTAAACTCAGACGGAATTTAAGTAGCAAGATTAGTATTGTAAAGAATCTAAATTCATGTGTTCCTGGATGCCAAAGGGTAACAGAAGGCTTAGCTTCCAAGCCAATGGGGCTCTGGAAGGGGGACAATGCAAAGTCCTACCTGGTAGGCATCAGGAATGTTGACCGTTTCTCCATGCTCCCCGACATAGCCAATGATGCCTTTGCCCCAGGGGACCTGCACCTCGTTTGAGTTCTCTGTGCTGCTGCAGGGCAGCAGTGGGGTTCCTGCATGCACATCAAAGAATTTGGAGACCAAGCTCTTCTTGCCAGCAGCTGCCCCTTCCACCAGGAAGAGAGAGCAGCGGTCAGCGTCCACCATGAGGCAGACAAAGATGAGGATCTTGTAGCTCAGGCTCGTAAGGTCAAGGTCATTGGAGATATCCTTGACCAGCTCCAGGAAGAACTGACGCTCATTATGCTTTTTGAGGTGGCACTTGTAGTCCATGGCCGTAGGTGGGTACTGAGGCAGATTCACCCTCGATTCCAGCAGGGCACTGAGAATGTGGGCCGTGGTGGGGGGCAGGGAGCTGGCCTTCCGGAGAAGTGCCCTCCGCCGCACACTGCTCAGGGGCTCCTGGGCCCGGGAGGTCACCTGTTCATCGTAGGTCCTGTTCACGTGGATGGCCTTGGAGCGAGCAAAACTCTTCCTGAGCTCTTTCTGAGAAGCTCTCCGCTGCAGGCTCCCATCGCCCCGGCTGCCACTGGCCCAGCTGGGACTCAGGGGAACCCCACCACAGTCCGCGCCACCCGGAGCGGGCTGGCTGTTGGCCGAGCTATTTGGTCCAGTGCCACCAGCAACATTGCCGCTGCCTCTGCCACCACTGTGAGCCAAGCTGCTGGTGCCGGCCACTGCGGGCCTCGGGCCTACCGCCCCCTGACTCCCACCGTGCCTCTGCAGCCACTTCTCCACCATCTCCTGCTTCCCCTTCCGCATCAAGTAATCTTCAAACAACTCTGGGTGTCTGTCCAGGAAAGTTTCCACCTCCCCAAAGTCCAGGCGGGATGCTGTCATGGTCCCAGACACAGCTTTCACGGCCACTCTACACTCGGACCAAACGTTTACCTACCCCAGCCCTCTAGCTGCTCCTGCACATGTCTACCCCCACCAGTCTTCCCAGCTCCGTGCGAGATTCTGCAGAGCAGAGGAATCTCAGCTGGGAGGGGCCCCTTCCTTCGAGCTCGGAGAGTGGCTGGCAAGAACCCCACCCCCTCGTCCTGCTACTCCTGCTCCGCACAGGTGCCCCCACTGAGCTGCTGCCGTGGCCACAGTTCCAGTCTGGAAAGTCCGAGCTATCGCTGTTCTGGCTCCGGCTGCTGCCGCCGCCCGCTGCCGCCGTACCCGGCTGAGTGGACCACTGTGAAAAGGGAGGTAGGGCAGGACACGCCCCTGAGTGAGGCACTGAGCCCGCGGCTGGGCGGGGGGGGCGGGGGGGGCGGGGGGAAGGGTTGGAGGGAGGCTCGGGCGCGGGACCAGCCGGAGTCCACCGCCCAGGATGCCCGGCGGTTTCTGGAAGAGACTTTGGACCGCCGGAATCGGCGCCTGGGAACGCGGCCGACTCCTGATTGGAACAGGATTAAAGGGGGAAACGCACCTGGTTTCTTCCCCCTCCTCCCATCCTTACCTCCCCAGCCCTCCCAATTCCCCGCCCCTTAATCCTCCAGCGTTTCCAGGAGGCCCCAGGGGAGCCCAGTGGGAACCCAAGTACGAGGAAGTGTTGGTGTTTTGCAGGCATCAGACCCAGAAGCTGACTCCGAGGAAATGAGGATGCTCAGAGAAAGGGAGGATTATTTTTCTGGGATGTGACTGTGGATTGTTGGTTCCTAAGATTCCTGGGACTGCCCGCTAACACTGCCCAGCTCCTGTGGGCTTTCAGTAAATATTAATGGAACTGGATTTCCCCGAAATTAGCAAATTAAGTTACCCATTAGCTTATGACTTTAACCAAATTCATGGACCTGGGAGAGTGGGAAAAGGTGGTACATGGAGGGAGGGTATAAAACACAGTCCCTTGGATTAGGGTGACCTTGCCTAGCAGGGGCGTATAGCAAGGCGGACTTAAGGGCAGTCCTGCATGTTATGGGTGGTTTCTCTTCTTTTCATAGATGACTGACCATCTCTTCCTTCTTTCCTCAGTCTGGCAAGGCCACCAATGCTTCCCTCCTACCAACATCCTAGGTCTTTGCGGGTAAGGCTTTTTCCTCTGTGGGAAGCTTTTCTTTCTCCAGACCTAGGGATGCTCCAGATCTGGCTTGTCTCAGCTATTTAGACTGAGAATAACATCAAATTTCCCTTGGGCCTTTTCCAAACCTAGTGGTTAAATGTAGGTGATTTTCCAGGAAAGAACAGCAGGCTGATAACACTTTCTTGATGCTCAAGGCTCTCTTTTTGGTGAGGAAAAAAGAGCAGACTGGGAACTATCTAGTTCCCTGGTACAGCAAGACAATCTAGACATATTCTTACAGAATGACAGCAATGAGGGTAATAGAAAAGAGCTAGAGAGGAAGCAAGCAGTGACTTTACAGTGCTTCCATGTGGCAGGCACACACACATGACCTAACACAGTAAGTAAAGATTACTGCTAAAGATGTCCTCAGAGCTAAGCAGACAAGGTGTATCAAGTACTTGCTATGTATTGATCATTTTATTTTTTTTAAGTAGGCTCCGCACCCAACATGGGGCTTGAACTCACAACCCTGAGATCAGCATGCTCTACCTACTGACCTAGCCAAGCGCCCAGCACTGATCACTTTATGGTTTTTTTTTTAAGATTTTATTTGTTTATTTGAGAGAGAGAGAGCAAGAGAGAGCATGCGCCTGGGGCGGGGAGGAAGGAGGGGAAGACGGAGAGGGAGAGAATCTCAAGCAGACTCTGTGCTGAGTGCTGAGCCAGATGCAGGGCTGGATCTCATGACCCTGAGATCATGACCTGAGATGAAATCAAGAGTTGGACGCTTAACCAACTGAGCCACTCAGGCACCCCAGCATTGATCACTTTAAATTAAAAGATTAGTTTATCCTCGCAACAGACTTAGGAGGTGGGGAGTCTTCTCATACTTTCAAGATGGAGAAATTCTGAGAAGTTGAGTAACATACCCAAGGTGCACAGTCAGTGGATGGCAGAGCCATCCATTTAGTTTGGCTCCAGAGTGAGGCACGCTCTCAGCCACATCACCGGACTGTCTTCCACCTGTGTCAGCTGAGTCTTATCGGTGCCAGGATTTAGGCTAGTAATAGAGATGCAGGGGCTGGAGCAGAATGTTCTCTAAACACTCCTCTAACAGCACCAGAAGTTGCACATGGGAGAAAGAAAGGCTCTTATTCAAAAATTCCAAATTTCCCAGCTTAGTTACCATGATTAAGAACATGGCCTTGGCACTGAAAATGCAACCGTGAACAAAACAAAGACTCTGCCTTCACAGAGAAGGTGGGGAGACAGCCAATACACAAAGAAGAAAATAAATATACAGAATAAGAGAACATTGTGATAAGTGCTGTGAAGAAAAACAAAACTTGGCAAGGGATTAGATAAAGGGATGAGGTAGTGGAAAGGCTCTTTTGAGGAGGGGACACCTGAGCAGAGATCTGATGGAAATGAGGGAATGAGTTATGTTGATATCTGGGAAAAAGAATGTACCAGGCAGAGGAAGCAAGTGCCAGAGTTGAGGGATGCAATGTATTTGGAGTATTTAAGAAACAGGAGGAAGACCACCTAGGAGACAGTGAATCAAGCACAGAATATTGGTAGTCTGGAGATGTAGGCTGCTAAGGAAATAGTGGTGATCAAGAATTAAATTTTAAAAAACAATCAGGACAGTGCCTGATACATAGAAAGTGCTCAATAAATGTTAGCTGTTGTATTACTTTTATGTTATCATTGTTATCATCCTACAGTGATAGTGTATGGAAACCTCACTGCATGTGATCACATCTCTAGTAACTTGAGTGGAACGTCAGCAAAGATGGTCAAAGTGGTATGCTGGAACTGGCTTTTAGCATCTCTTCTCAACTCCATGTTCAGTGACATTATGTAGCTTGCAGTCATCCATGATGGGAGTATTTGTATGATAGAAATCAACAAATGCTACAAATCAGGATTTTTTTTTTCCAGAGTGCTAGTTGTTAAACATTTACCAACATTCAGTGAAAACAATTCAATTGTTCATCAACTGATGAATGGATAAATAAAAAGTGGTATAGCCATAAAGTGGAATATTATTTGGCCATAATAGAAAGGAAGTATACATGTACTGATATAGGCTACAACTTGGAGGAACCTTGAAAAGTTTAAGCGAAGTGAAAGAAGTCACTCACAAAGGACCACATTTTGTATGATTTCATTTATATGAAATGTCCACAATAGACAAATCCAAAGAGACAGAAAGTAGACTAGGGGTTGTCAGGAGATGAGGAGAGGGGAGACAGAGACGAAGCGGATGACCACTAATAGGTACAAAGTTTCTTTTTGAGATAATGAAAATAATGTTCTAAAATTAATTGTGGTGCTGCTTAAATAATTCTGTGGCTATACTAAAATCCATTGAATTGTACACTTTAAATAGATGAATTGTATGGTATGTGAATTATATCTCAATTAAGCTGTTATAAACCAACAACAACAAAAACCGTTTACCAAGACATGACTGGTCATAATGCAGCAGCAACGTTGTGCATGGAAGTAAGAAAAGCGCTGAGCATCCCCAAAGAAGGGAGAGACCAGCCCTGGTCTGCTTGGAAACAGGTTTAATAATTAGTCATTTCCTTAATCCCATCTTCCATGTATTCATTATAAAAGCAGTTGTTTAGCATTTATGGGAGCTTACACGTTCATGTTCCAGGCTCTTGGAGCAAAAAGAGACTAAGATAAAACCTCTGCCTTTGATTGAGGATCTCACAGTCTACAGCACCAAGAGCAGTGAGAGTAGAGAAGAATACTGGGAAGGGTGAGAAAATGAATTGAGCATTTGTGGCTTGGTTTTGAATTGGCTCCAGCTTTATTCTCTGCTTGGTTTATGAGGTCACTGAAGGAGTCAATGGTTGAGGAAGAAATTAAGAAAGTGACAGAGAATACTCATAAGATAGTCTAGAGGGCTGTGATGGAGGGCTGCATATTAAGATGTGTGTTGATGTGGCCCCAATTGCCATTTCCTCTTCATTTTCAATTTGTAGAATGGTGTGTGTATTAGTCATGGTCCCAAGAGAAAACAGAGCACATTCAAAATAATTTCAAGAGGGTTAATTTATAAGGAGACTGATTACAAAGGTGGAATATAGGTAAACCACTGGGATAGTGAAGACACTTGGGATGTAAAGCAACAGAGAAATCACCACCCCCAGACCTGATGGGAGGCAGAAGGGGAAGGTCACCAGGACTCAAAAGGACAGAGGCTTACATAGTAACAACTGCCTTCAGAGGAATAGTGACAGCCTGTCAAAAGACATAAACAGCCCAAGTTGACCTCAAAGGAGGAATATCAGAAATAAATACCTTGAACTCATTCTCCCTCCCTCCTATCATGACTAGACCCAACTAGAAGCTAGAAGGTGTTGGAGCTTGTTGATAGAATCCATATGGGTCATCCTTCCTAGGTAGAGAGTAGCAGGGACAAAGAAGGATCTGTATAAGCTACGGAGGGACACATGGAAAATATTTGGCCCAATATGGGATCTTGAAGACGTCCCCTTATGAAATAATAGATGCTATAGCTCCAATTTTCTGCAATTCTGCCCTCTTCTCTCTATAGTTCTGCTAATTCCACCAAAACTGTCTATGATAGATTCTACAACATTTGCAGTCAACAGAACCCTACTGCAGGACACTAACCTTGAAAAGGTATGATACTGTGATGATAAATCAATCAGCTAAAGGAAGAAGCTCTACAGACTCCCCCCCATCTACCCCTTCTCCTTTCCACCAAGACAGAAATATTGCCCATGTAGCCTCTCATTGGAGAATGGAGAAGATAAAGGTGCCTTCCCACTTAGAGTTTTCAAGAACAAGGGCTTCCTCTTTAATCCAAGTATTCATTACTTTATCACTGCCATTGTCAATTAGCATTTATTGATTGATCACTCTTCCTGTCAAAGCACTGGCTTACATGCAAGATAACTTTTGTTATTCCAAAGGGGGCCCATTACATTTTAGCATGAGATGGAACTTTAGAGATCCTCTAATAATCCACTTTCATTTTGCACGTGTGGAAACTGAGATCTAGAGCAGACATTTAACTCCTCCAAAGTCATCTGCTAAGCAAAACCTCTGATCTGCTCCTGGTTCCATCCCACCCTTACCAATATCCCACAACTTGAAACCAGTATCTTGAAGC